TTTTTTTTTTTTTTTTTTTTTTGCATCTGTAATGAAAATACAGACTGCTAAATGTGCTTGGAAATCAACTCTGAAGGCCAAATTTCATCCTCTCTGCAGATGAGTAGCAAGTGTGGTGGAGGTGCTGGAGTGTTGCCTGCTTATGCTAGAAATGAAATTTGGCCCAGGATATGGTGAAAGATAATTTTGAATATCCCACAACAGCTGGAGCTCAGCCTTTTCTGATTAGAGTGTAAGCACTAAGGTTTGATTTTTCACCAGGATCTACTGCAGTATATTTCACTGTAGAGTGATTCAGAATGGCAAATAAGGTGGCCAAATGAAAATAGCCACAAAGTATCTGCCAAGAAGGGTGACTAATGAAGGATATAGAATCTGTTTGTTCTTCCGAATGGTGAATGCTTGCTGAATATGGATATGGTGTTTGAAGAAAGGGATTTAAAGGCTTATTTGGGAGCTCATTTCCCTGTGATTCTGTCTGAAGAACTTTACACAGTGCATGTCTGTTCAGGGAAACTCTRTGCCCTGAAAATTTCACCCTTTCAACATGCATCTGTTTCCTTAAATATTCAGATTATTATGAAAGTGTTTGTCTTGCTCCTACTGAACCTACCACTTTGAAACCTTCTACTCAGATAAGGATTTCTAAGGGCTATGAATACAGAACAGATAATGTACTTGGAAATCTTAACATTTAATTTAGCCAAAACCAAAACTAAATACTACACCTAAATTTTTTTTTGTAAATTGCACATTTTTTGATAAGCTTGAGTTTAAGCACATGGAAGAAATGGAACTTAAGCTGAGGAGGCTTTCCTTAAAGAAAGCCAAAGAATGTGTGGCCCTGGCAGTATGTAGCTCAACAGAGAGAGATGGCAATTCATATGGTTACAAATTAGGATGTTTTTTATTCATGCATGTGTCTGCTTTAAAAATGGGCTCCTATATATGTTTGGGCTCAGAAGATATCACTGGTGGGTAGTGATATTTTTGTATGTCACTTCCTTAGACACTTTTATATCTGTCCCATTTAATGTAAGATACCTAGGAGAATATGTATAGTCAAACAAAAGAATTTTTTTAATGTAAAGGGACATAATCTGATCATTAAACCTCTTTATAGAATGAGAGTTGCTCTATAGAACTGACTTTATAGAATACAGGTACTTCATTTTAGATGGCAGGTTGGTCTTATTTAAGCTGTTTGTCTCTGGGAATACACAGAAAGAAATAACTACATTTATTTAAATTAGAAAACATTCTGATGATCATTATGAGCACTGCCAAAGAAATAGCATTAGTTCTCTTGGGAAATAATCATGCTTCTGAAGAGGTGCATTATATCCTATTGCATTCAGCACGTTACACTAAAGAGGCAAGCCAAGCTTTCATTTGCATATGAGTTATTCAGGTGTATCTAGGTGAATAATAATATATATTATCACTTCTCTGACTGAAAGTCTGAATGCAGTTATGTGCAGCTTATATCTGCTTTAACTTGGAATTCTCATTCAACTAATTGAAAATCTTCCTATTTATTCTGGATCTTTGAAGTTTACAACTTTATCTTCTAATTATTAATGAAATACTGTGAAATTTGTCATAGCATCAATAGCGACAGCTTGAGTATGTAGCAAACAAATGCAGTCACTACTTTTCATGCTTTCCTCTGAAGTTGATTCAGGAAGACCTAATGAGCAGCCCATAGTTGTACAAAATTCCACTGCTGGACTGTTGCAAGGGAAGGCAGACTCCTTTTCATCAAAAGGAGTGTGTGTATGTGTATACAAAAAAGTCTGTGTGTGTATATATATATATATATATATATATAAAAAAGGCATCATTAGTTTTCTTCCTTTATTCCTGTTGTAGCTGGACTTCCATAACTTGGGTCATCTAATGAAATCTAGGCTAGTAAAGAAGGCAGAAAAGAAGCCAACTGAAATTCAGGCTTTTATTTAGTCATTGGATTTGAAATACGTAAAATAGTCTTTGTTCAGTAACTTGAAACTGTTACCTGTGTCTTMGTTAAGTATCTGCAGTAATCTAAGAATGGTTTTTGAAAGTTCTTGAAATGTAGGTGATTTACCTGTTGCATGAGATCAGGTGAGATTGAATCCAGCCATGATCCAGCTGTTTTACCTTTATCAATAGTACAATTCAGTTACATTGTGATAATAACATAAATGTATACTTTTTCAAGTCCTTAGTTATTAATAGCATATAAAATGAAAAAGTGCATCTGTAATAGCTTGTCCTTGACTCCTCAAAGAAAGAAGGCTTCTAGTGTTTCAAATCTGCTTTTTGAGTTTTTACTGAAGGAAAAAATGAAGAACAAGTGAACTGAAAGCTTTCTAATCTTAGTCATTTGTTTCCCCTCATTTTCCTTCAAAATGTGTCATAATGCTTTACTAATCTGTCTTTGTTGTCATCCCAGTGAAAATTTCTGTTGCATTTGTTTAATTATCTGTGCTTAATTTTCTTTTAATATTCAATTTGAAAATATAAATTTTCAATAAAATTATTGCAAGACAACTTCAAAGAGGATACTTTGAGTCAATGAAGGTGACAAAGAAAGCTGAACACTAATCTTAAAGGAGATGATGAAGCAGGAAGTGAATTTGAAAGTGATCAGAAAGTTCCCTGGAATCTGTCACTTGTACTTGCAGTGTAGTTCTTATATTTATTATCACTTCTGTTTCCCAAATTTTCCTCTTGTTCTGCCTCAGATTTTTCTGACTAGGGAGTTGTATTTTTCCAGGACTACACATGATGGGATTATTAGCTCATAGTTGTTGCTCAGATGAAATGTTTAGTCTTAAACCCATTTAGAAATACTAGCTTCACCTTAGTCAATCATTGCTGTAAGGGAAGCAGAAAATGTCAACATCAGTTAGGATTATTGAAGAAGAAAATTAGGATAGTTGAATGTGCTTCAGAAACAACCTCAATTTTAAAACTTTTTTATAACTTCTGATTCATTCTATTTTAATGACATGCAATATATTTATTTTCAATTATCTATCTCTGTTGTCAGAAGTCAAAAGAAATCCTTTTGATGCCCTTGATTTCTACATGAAAATGAGGTGGACAAAGAACATTCTAAAATCTCTAGCATATTTTCCTTGCAAAAGGTATTGCTGTTTTTAATCTTGGGATTTCAAAACATTAGAGACATACTGTAGTTATCAAGGGAAATGTACAGTTACATCAGTGTTAGCCAGTCTTTTTAGTGTCTATAAAAACAGTTGARTGGCTTTGCAGAAATCTACCTTCATGCTTGTTTCCTTGTTGTCTGTCTGAATGATCATTCTAAGACTTGTAATTAATCTCAAAATTCCAAAATTTCTCCTTACAAAGAAGTGTATATAAAAATTTGAGGTGTAGGGCACTTCTCAAGAGGTAATGCAGAGATTAGACTAATTCAGGGCAATATATAAATAAAATGACACCCTAAAATTACAGACCACATTTCTACTGGAAAGAGTAGAAGCTTAAACTTATGTTAATTCTCTTTGAACATGAAGTTTCTTGATTCTTTTTTTTCCACTCAATTAGTAACTTCAGTTTTAGCCCTAATTCTGGATATAAAACTAGGGAAAGCATATTGTGCATATTAACTAGGTTGGACGTGGGTTCTTAATAATTAGCATTGACTCTCAGAAGTGCAAATAATAAATTTGGCTTTTTCTTGGTTCAGGCCAYTGCTTTGAATATGGCACATAAATTGCTATAGATTTTATATGACTATGAATACATTTATAAGCTTAAAATAACTTGCAGTTTGTTATATCTAACAAACTCTGTCAGTGGACTTGGATAAAACATCTATCTTACAGGAAGTGACCTAGATTAAATATAGCAGTCTGATTTTCATGATTTTGATTCTACCTTTACAGGAGAATGAACTGTGGGAGTAACATTTTAAACGATTTTCCTATATATAGAAATTCATTTTAGTAAAATATTGCTAACGCTGTGAGTGCAAATGATTTTGTAGATACTTATGACTAAAGCTAGCAAGAAATGAGACCTTTTCTCTCTYGGCATATTCACATGTATAATAAATTCACTTTGTATAATGAATGTTGTTTTTATTTGTATATAAATTTATATACATGTTGTATGTGTGGAGGATTCTTTAATTTCCTTTAGTGCTCTGTTTTCAATATCAGAATGTTATAGGCATTGTTTGTGGGTATGAGGTGCTCTCCCTTACTATTTATTTATTTGCGATTGGGAAGACACTTTGCAAGTGAAATAACGGGATGAGATAAGCAAAGAAGGTAAATACCAAATGAGTATTTATGGTTTTGTGAAAATACATGGAAACAAGCAAGTCCTTAGTACTTTTTAGCCTATGTAGTAAGTACTGATTTTCCTAATGTGTTCTTAGGATCCATATGGTAGGGCATAGCCTGTTATCTGGACTCTATAATGGGCTAGGACCACCTTCCAYTGTAATCTTTTCTGCCAGAATAAAAGCACATTTTTTTCCAAACTGAAAATTGTGCTATTTAGAACTACTTTTAAGCATCATTATTATGGTTGAAGGCTCACTACATAAACATTCTCTCTGCAGTTAAAGAAGTCATTAAATACAGCTTATGAAACAGCGAGTATCCTAAGGATCACTGCACTTGGGTAGTCCCATGCTGAGCTCTAGAGTGGAGAGCTGAGCAATGTAAACATCAAACTTAATCAAAGCTTCTTGAATTAGGTTCAAACTGAAAAAGTTCTTCCTAAGTAGATATACCAAAGAGAATTTATTTTATGGCAGGGCTAGAGTTTATTTTAACTTTGGGCTAAACCTGTGCTTCACACTCACTTCTATCCAAACACTTTGGATGCAAATTCACTCTCACCTGTTGATCCTGGTGATCTTTGAGGCTACTGAAGTGTTATATCTTATTCTCCTCTTAAAAAGGAATTTGTTTTTCCTTTT